GGCGAACCGCGGCGAGTGGGGGCCGCGATCGGCGGAACCTGCCGCGTCAGCAGGTAAATAAACTGGCCCGGCCCGCCAGGGTGCTTACCCTGGCGAGCCGCGTGCCGAACGTTGCCGACCCCTGTGCTACACATTGCTAATAAGCAGCAAAGAGAAATTTGATAGCACTTTCAGTCAGAGCTCTCAGTTTGAGTACAACTTCTGCACATCGTTTCAAGACATCAGTAGCAATAAACTACAAAGGTCACGAATGTAATTACTGGTGAATATGGAGCGCTGCAGGAGAGTACCCAGAGTAATTTCTGGAAACTGTTCAGATCTTCTTTCAGTTTCAATGAAAATGAAAGTTACCACCACTGGTCTTGTCACACTATCCCACTAACAATATTGGTCAGCAACCACAATGGTTTATTACTGTCTGTTTATCACAGTCTGTTTAAGCAGGCTTACATACATAAGCAGACACTCTTCTAGATATATTTTGTTTAGCATGCTGCAAGTCAAGAGATCAGGCACAGATTTTACAAGGAGGGGAGTCAAAATAAGAACATACACAGACACCAAAATTATTCTCTCACTATGATTTAAGAACTATTGTACAAATTCATAGATTATGAACCCAGAAGGGGCCATTGTAACCATGGAGCCTGGCTTCCTGTATAACACAGGCCATGGAACTTCCCTGAATTAATTCCTGTTTGAACTAGCACATCTCTCTTTATTATATCTATGTCTGCTAGAAAGAAAAGAAAATTTCGGTTCTTCATGTAGGTATTTAAAGACTATGAACAAGTCGCCCTTAACCTTCTCTTTCTTAAACTAAGTATATTGAGCTCCTGGAGTCCATCACTATAAGGCAAGTTTCCAATCCTTTAATCTATCTCATGGCTCTTCTCTGAATGCTCACCAATTTATCAATATCTTTCTTGAATTGTGGACATGAAGATTGAAACCACCACTGTGTCCATCAGTCCCAAACACAGAGGTATCATAAACTCCCTACTCCTACTCAAGATTCCCCTGTTTATAACATCCAATGATCACATTAGCTCTTTTGTTAAATGACTTCACCACCTCTAAACGACAACAGTTTCATATTTTGCACTGTGCACCATGAAAATGATGTAGCAGCACACAGATCTAGGCAGGATCAGGGCCCCATTGTGCTATGCACTGTACAAACACCTGATAGTACAAAGTAGCTCATATATAGTACATTAGATCTCAAAATGCTTTACAAAGTAGGGAAGTATTATCTCTATTTTAAAGATGGGGAAATAGGTGGAAAGAGATGACGCAGCAAGACTATGACAGAGGTGGGAATAAGACTCCGATCTCCTGAGTTCTAATCAAGTGGAACTAAAAGGACTGCTGTATGCTATGACAGTATTTCAGATCAAATTAAATTCCATCTGTAATAAACCAAAAATGC